GTTTATTGGGGTATTGTCTGGACTTTTGTCCTTTGTGTAGCTGTCACTTCTCCAAGGAAAGGAAGCCAGTTTTGGAAAAAATTTCCTCATGGGTAACTTTGGAGAACTCCCTGATTTCTCCACTTCTTTTCCTTCTGAAAAATATAATTAGTCATCAGTTCACATGGAAACAGAATCTTCCTTTTGGCTCAGCATTGAATTGGAGCAGGGAGATCCTGAAGAGTAATTACCTGGGGAAACAAAGAGTCTTGCTGTGGAGACTGCAGTCCCAGCCTCATTTTCTGCAGTGCACCTAAATTCCCCAGAGTCTTTAGGAAATGCTTCTGTGATAATCAAGGTACAGACTTCCTCTGGAAAGGGAAGAGATTCAACTTGACTCAAGTATTTGGATGCCCAAAATTAACAAACAGAGAGTGTGGGAGGATGTCAGGGAGAGTAGGTACTAGGAATAAATAGAGTATTCCTGAGATTAAAAAAAAAATCCATCTGATTAGATTTTTTGTCTTTGAGTGGGCTCATGAAGATAATCTTAAAAATAAAACCTAAAACGATCCCAGCATAGTCCCTGTCACCTGCCTCTCAGACACATCTGTTTTCTCTACTAGACTGTGAGTTCCTTGAAGGCAGGGATTAGACTTTATTCCTTGACTTTTAGATTTCTGTAGGTTTAGTGCTTAGCATAAAGGTCCTATAGAAGGATTTTCTGAACAGACCTAAAAATTATCATTGCCTGGTAATTAGACCTAATGTTAGTACAGTGATGGCCGTTGTGTGATGGGCACCACATCTACTTCTTGAACAGTCAACAGTTTGGATGTTTGATGTCAGGATACCTCTTTACCGCCTCTGTGTATAGTTCATAAGTCACAAATACTATGCCAAGTGAAAATAGAGGAAGAATGCATGCTCTATGAGGGCAGGGACCTCCTCAGTGCCAAGAAGGGAACCTGGCCATAATCTGTCCTCAGTAAGTATATGTTGAGTGAATGAATAGATGAATAAATACACTGATAAACCTGTTATCTTGCTTTTTCTGTTGTGTCAGGTCAAGAATTGGCATAGGTTAGCCTTAGAACTGCTCATGAAGGCAAAAGTGATTTAGGAGACAAAGTCTTTTGATGCTAATTTTGATTTAATCATTTATTATCAAGATGTTGAAAAATTGTGCTTACCAGGAATGGATGATAAACAAGCTTCTGAAAAATAAAACAAGAGAGTAGAGAGAGAATTTAAATAATAACAATTAATTTAGTTGGGAGAAGAGGCCATATGTATGTGAGAAAAACTTGAAGCAAATACAAGGTTGACTATAATCTGGAGTCATATCATAAATTCTGTAGAAACTCAGGAAAGGTGCATAATGGAATGAACACTTGGCAGGGTGCTAGAGGAACTGTATTTTAGTCGTGTTGTTGTACTACTAAATTGCTCTGTGACTTTGTGAAAATTACTTTACTTCCCTGGCCCTTTAGTCCTTCATCTCTAACATGAAGTTAAGACCAGCAAATATTTCTTCTCTGAATGTGAACCATTGCTGAAACACTAATCCTGAGGTGGCCCCTTTCTCCTGAGAAAATTCTTTTCTTTTAGTCTCTCTAATTCAAATGAAGTTGAATTTTACATTATAAAAATACTGTAGTATTACTGTAGAAAAAACACAAAAAGTTAATAATAGTTTTCTCTGGGTGGTGAGACTATGAATAATTTTAAATTTCTTCTTCATGTTATTATATATTTTCTAGATTTATTATAATAAATTTGTATTACTTTAGTTTCAGAAAATGCAGTAAATGTTATTTTGAAAAGAAACACCATATTGTGTAATAGAGATGTTTCTTCCTAAATGTGATGTGCAAATGTTCAGTTGTTTTGAATTAATATTTAAATAAACGTATATTCTTGGTGGAAGAACTATCTTGGGCTTGAACTGTGGCTGCAGCATGTACTAGCTTTGTGACCTTGGGCAAGGCATTTAGCATTTCTGATTTCAGTTTTCTTGCTTATAAAATAGGGGTAGTAAAACATACCCCAAAATGTTGATGTGAGAATTAAATGAGAAATTGTTTATAAAGTATACACTATGTTTAGCATGAGGTAGATCATCATACCTGTTACACTTCCGTAAATCAATTCAATATTTAGAAAGTTATGCATCAGTTTTCATTTGTTTTACTCTTTCAAAAATATGTCTATTTTCACGTTTTTTCTTGTTTGTATGCCAATAACTCATTAGGGCGATAGTTAAGATTAATTTATGAAAATAAACCATTATGAAAATAGACAGCTATTAAAACTATTGTTTCATCAAAACAAAATAGCTATCTTTGCTTTTTTGTTTTTTTTTTTTGTTTTTTTAGGAATTGTTTGGATTTGAAATGACAATTGTTTAACAATAGAAATCACTGAGCCTGTAACAAATCAGCTATTAAACTTTAAAACATGAATTAGATTTCAAGGTTAATTGGCATAAAAAACAAATTGAAAAGCTAATCATGATACTTTTCCTCAGAATCCGGAAGTCATCTGAGTCTGCTATCTGCTCTTTCTCTCTGTACCAGTGAACTTGAACTGTGGCTGTGGCCTGGACTCGGCATTCAAACACGACAAATTGACCTCTGGTTGTAGAGATGTCTTGAAGATGCTGAAGAACAAACAGAGAATTCACAGAATGGAAGAAACTGTTTCACCGTACAATGATTTGGGATGCCAATTGCAGTAAGTGTGCAGGCTTTTTTATCATAATTATTGATAACGGACTGTACCTTAATCAAAACAAGGAGCTGCTGGGCCTTCTTTTGTGCTTTATAGTGTGCTCTACAGCCAGGTGTTAAGTTATTTTTATCTTAACTTCATAGAGTTGTGTTTAATGAGAAAGTTGTTGTTCACTTCCCCAAGAGCCATTTTTCAAAATAGAAAACAGGTGAGTTGAAAAGTCTTCACTTTGTTGTATTAGATTATTTTGTTGAGTACATACCTAGTCACAGATTTAGTCTTTATTATTGGTCACAGTAGCATGGGCATATTGTAATTTGTTAAGGGCTCTGAATCATGACTTAGAGGACTTGGGCCAAAATCGCAGTGCTGTTCCTAGCTGGTTGAAGCTGATCATAGGACATGGAAAAGACTCTTAACGTCTATGGAACTCGGGTTCTTTATCTGTGAAATAGGGCTAGCAAAATGCTCAGCCTACTTTGAGGTTTCAAGGCTTGTTTCAGATAAATAATCTGAAAACTTTCTTTAAAGAATAAAGAGTTATATTGATATATAAAAAATGTTTGTTAACAGTAGCTAGTTTAGTCTCAAAATGCGTAAATGAATGGGTGGCAATTGTGGTAAATTTCCCCCTTAAATTCTGACCCCTCCCCCGCCCCCGGGTCCTCTAGAATCTAGAATTACATTTCAGATTATAACTTGGCCCTGAGACCAGGGAGGGAGTGTCTGAGATTCTTCTATCACGTGAGACCTAGTTGAGACATAATGACCAGCAGTCCAGCCCTTGAGGCCAGGGCTGCATATCACAGGGAAGGAATGCAGCAGGAGAGGAGATCTGTGAAAATAACAGATATATGTGCCTGATAATGTCTGCTGAAAACAAGCTTCCAGAATCAATAGTAGCGTTCCTTACTCTTAATGACATTGTTTCCTATGTCTTGCATCCTGTATCTGGTACGGATTAAGTCCCTGCCCTGCTTCTCATACCTTGAACTAGCAATGGGCAGTGGTTCCAGTTCTGTCAGGTTTAGAAACTGGGGGACAGAGATCCCAGAGAAGGCTTCAGCGTTAGTTTGGTTTGACCTTGGTGATTGAATCCTGCTATTTCCAGTGAATGATAGAGGAGCCTTCTCTATCCTGATGTCTGACTGTGACCCAAGCAGGAAATAGATATTGCTTTGCTCATTGACTTCTTCAGAAAGGCTTCTTGTAGCTAGTTAGGAGAATCTGATGAAACTTGAGGTCAGGCAGAGGGTAGTCTGCCTGGAGAGGACAGTCTAAACATTGTCCTCCAGAGCTGGAAGATTGACACAGAGCAAAAGGCTAAAGAGCACAGGATAAACCATGAGTTGCTCTGTGACATTGAACAATAATTTTACCCTTTTGGGGCCTCAGTTTTCTCGTATATAAGATAATAATAATCTCAGAGATCCTTTCTAGTTTCCTCTTTCCTTCTTCTTACCCCTTGGATAATGTCTACAATTTATCTATAACATTCAGACTCCATCATGCAGTATGGGTACGTTACCTTGGTAAACACAGGGGCTGCAATACATGTGGATCCTGACAGGCTGCTACAGGGACTCTGCATCTGATTAAGAAATAGAAGAGACATTATCATCCATATTGTCACGGCCCTAAAATCTAGGTGCATGGTGGCTATGAACTAACTGGATCAGTTTTAGCTGCTACCAACCACACCCTAAGTTTCCTTTTTGAAAAGGATGATGCTTTTAATTTTAATGTCATTTTGGACGTCTGCTCCACTGCCACCCTTTTTTCTCTTACCTTCCACATTCCATCAGCTGAGATGGTGAACTACAACACTGGGCAGTTACACTTGAGAAATGAGTATTGCCAATTATTTAGAGACTGTGCATTAAAGATTTAAATAACTTCTAAATTTTACTGACTAGATTTTTTTCTCTTCCGTACAGTTGCTCTTGTTGGATCTTTTAGGTTTTTGAAAAAGCATCTCCCCTTTTTTTTTAATTAAAGGGGAATTCATTTCTTGGGTAGTTGGGATACCCTTGTTATGGGTCTGAGCTCCTAGACACCAACTGTCCCTTGTGGTCTGGCACACAGACAAATGGCCAACCCATAGAACTACCATGAAGTTATTTCTGAGACCCATGGATTTCATTCTTGTTCTTTCTGAGGTCATGCAGCTGGAGGCTCTCCTCACATAGACTTTTCAAGAAAGTTGCATTGATTCCTTCTTCTCTGGGCCTGTGTCTCCATTACCGGGACCCCTCAGAAGGCATAAAACTGATCTTACCCTATGGGGGTCAATACACAATGGTTGAACTAAGGTAGAATAACTTGATCTGATGTTGGAGGTTTCGTTAACTGGGGAACTGATGGTCAGAGAAACTCTAGTGGTTTTCTTCTTTATCCTGTGGGGGAAACAAAAACAAACACAATCCAGTGAAAGAAAGATTAGAGGCAACTTGGATAGAAATGCCTTACTGTACACATTTGAATGTATCACATTTTTTACCTATAATCCTTATTTTTCTCTTGATTTGCGTAATAATTTCAGTTTTTTTTCTTTTTGAACAATTATTAGTGGATTATGGATCCTAATAGTTTCACTTTAAATTTCCTTTGTCTCAGTTGGATAATCATTGGGCTGTTACTCAACACTTAAATTGTCCAGAAGAAATAAAGCAAATAGCCACTTCAAAATTTGTCTGGGAAGTTTTAGGTTTGGTTATTTTTTAAGTGGAATTCCTCCTATATTCATATGCAACAGATGCACATTCACATACATATTCTGTACTTACTCTGACATTTTTGTAGCATATTCCAAGCACAATCCTGGAGAGAAAACTTTTTCTTACTTCCTTGGGTACCTACAAGGAAGAGAAAAAAGAAATTCTGTCTAAATCTCATTAGAAATTTAGTTCAAGTAATTTTAGTAAAATTTAGTTCAAGCGTACTGTATTTACAGTAGGACCAGCACGTTAGTTAGTTACAGACCGCGGGTCAATCCAGAACATCTGAATTCTTGACTAAGGATGAAACTGCTTTAATATTCTCAGTTTAAAATATCCAGATGTTCACTATTACAGAGCTATAGAACTTGCACCTGGAAGATGTACTGAGTCATTTCCCAAAAGCATCATTTCAGAGGGCATATATAAGTGTCTGTGAATTTGTATTTTGGTCTGAAGTCTTCAGCATATTTGTTATAACAAATCTATTGAAACACGTTGCTGTGTTTAGTATAAGGAAGAATGTTGTCAATGTTCGTATTATCTCTATGAGGACTTAGTAGAGAAATATATCTCAATTCTTAGTATTAGGAATAATTAGGCTTCTCCTGTGCTACTAGTTTAGTTTTTCCTCATAGTTACTGTGAATCTTACTATTGGTTGTATTTCCTTCTGTATTAGCTACTTGAAAGTTTAGAGCTCACTTCATAGCCAATAATTCAACAGAGATTAGAGCCAGGATCTCCTAAACTTGTAACCTGAAACTTTTTCTCACTATTATCTATGATGATTTATTTACCCAAAACCAACATTTAGATCACATGGCCCCACAAAGAACTTTTTTGTTATTTCCAGACAGAAGAGGTAGATTGGAAGATATAGACTAGCCTGAATAACAAAATATTGTAATTTCCAGAAAGCCTTTGTTTTATGGAAATAGAATATTAGAAATTACAACTATTCCCGAAAAATCTAGGCTATAATGCTTTAAAGAAAAAAAATTAGATTTACATGCTACAATGCGTTAATGAACAAAAAATTAGTTTCCACTTAAAAGTCTTTTACATATAATGTTTGATACCATCATTAGGACTAGATTCATCTAATCTCTTTCGAATCTCAGTATATAATCCTGTAATGCTTGGTGGCTTTTTTCAGTCTTTAGAAGCTTCTTTATCATCTTAGAGTTTTAAAACCATATTAGGCTTAATTTGCTTTAGACTAAAATTTGGGTGATGTAAAAGATTTACTAATACTATTTCATGTTTCATTTCCTAAGGTGGATAGTGGCTAGGAAGTGTACATTTCATTATTATTTAAACTGTATGTATAGATTATATTTACTCCTTTCTATGTATATAGTATTTTATAATAAATTTGTAACATTAAAATAAATCTGTGAGGTGGAACTGCCTTTTTTTAAAGGATTTGTTGGTTGTTTTTACATTTTCACAGAACAGATAGAATTATTCGTTGGTAGTTCAGAAGAAGATAGGTTCAGTTCCATGAGTATACATGTGCTAAAGGGATTGCAAACGTGCACAGATTATCTTTATGTCCAAAATTGGGCACAAACAGAGTCTATACCTACAGACTCTCTAAACCGGGTGGAGTCAAACCTTGAAGTGTTGGCTGTATTTACTTGACTTGGATCACTTTTCTAATGAATGAAAACTTCACAAACACTCAAATTCTTGAATTGGTGAATACTTCCTGATGTTTCCTATGCCAAGGCCCCGAGAGCAAACAAAGGAGTTTGGAGTTAGCTGACGCAATGAAACTAAGTGAAAAGCTCAATAGTTCAAAACATGCATAATAATAATATAGATACCATCTTAAAATGCCATAAGACATCAGAAACAATAATGTCACAAGACATTAAATAGTACCAATGACATCGCAAGACAGCACATGATCACCCCATAGGCTGTAGAAGTAAATGCTATGACTTCAAAGGAGACAGAAGCTTGGCTGGTCTAGGAAAACTTACTGCCCAGGGTGGAGCTTCAGCTGAACTTTGAAGAATGTTAAAATTGGAAAAAATGAGGTGTGTATGTGTGTGAGTTGGGGCTGGGGGCTGGGAGTGAATGGTGGTGGGGGATGGATAGAAAAGGGAAGTAAGTAACTTTTATGCAACACTAAACCGTGTGCCAGATACTGTGCTTATCCCTTTATCTCATATGTGAGGAAAGCATTCCATAACCATGCAATGGTGTGGAATACTCTGAGATCAGGTTGCCTGGATTTACCATTCATTAGGTATATTAGGCTTCCCTCTAAGCCTCAGGTTCCCTATCTGTAAAACAAGCACAATAATAGTGTTTATTTCTAGGGTTGTTTTGAGGATTAAACAAGATAGCCCACAAAAACATTTAATTCATACGTGCCACATATCAAGTACTCAATAAATGTTAGCTGCTATTATGATTGTGATGTTGGTTGTTATATGTAGATCCAGGTGAAGTTCCGCCTTTCCTCAGAGGTTTCTAATCTAGCCCTCCTTAATTTTCTTCTCTTGTGAATTTACAACCTCTATAATACACTTTTATTTTTAATTGTTTGCTATCGTGTGCTTTCATTTGGAAGCTCCTTAAGATCAGGGATCTTTTAATGTCTCCCATCCCCAAAGTATCTAGCCCAGTGTCGAACACATAGTAGGTGTGGAGTTGATTGATTTTATAGATTATTGTATAGGGAGATACTATTCATAGTTGTCCTAGGAGGTGTGTGTTGCTTTGTGCTATTTCCCTGCACCCATCCCACAAATAAAAACAATTGATACAGAAAGATTCCTCCTCTTTTGACCTTGGCAGTAAGTCCTTATTCCACACCAGCTACTTAGATGGAGTTAACCAATCACAGAATTGCAGAGCAAGAGAAGACATGGGGAACTTTCTTGTCTAACATCTTCAGAGAAGAAAACTAAGGGTCAGAGAGGTTATGTTATTTGCTCAAGGTCATGCAGTCTGTTGGTAGAAGAGTCAGGAGTAGAATCCAAATCGCCTGTCTTCTAGTGAAATTCATATAGGCCTCTGGCAAATGGACTCTCTAGGTAATATCATATCATATCATATCATATCATATCATATCATATCATATCATATCATAATAAAATATAATATCATAATATAATATAATATAATAGCTAAATTTAAAACTGTAGCTATTAGTTTGAATAGTGAAACTGTAGTGATTTTTTTCTTTTATTGGGGTAGAGTGTATTTATGGTTCTGAATTCACTGGGTAATGGAACAGTCCTTTAACTTTGTATGTAAGCTCCATGAGGGCAGAGACTTAGTCTGTTTTGCTCACTCTTGTATCCCTAGTGCCTAGAATGGTGGCAGGTGCATAGGAGATGCTAAATAAATATTTGTTAAATGAATGAATTTGCTTTATTAGCAATATTGGCTGAGACTTCAGTTGAGAATGTTTGTGGCTTCTAGAGATTCTAACCTTTAAGTATCAAACCCTGGAGAGAAACCTTATGAACAGCAGGGAAACTCTGGCTGTGGTAGGAAGGTAAAAATGAAATGCTCCCCCCCATGGGAAGAGAAGGATTAAGTGAGAGTGAGTATGAAACTTTTGGAATGACTTGGAAGAAACATGTCTTATAAATAAATATAAAGTCAGTTGGTTCAAGAGGCTAGAATTTCCTCTAAGCCCCTTGGCACATCTCAAAGGAGAAGCTAGAAAACATCAGTAGAATAGTTTTGGTGGTGAATGAGATTCAGGTTTTTTCCCACCTTGAAACTGTCCCATGTCCCAGGATAATGAGAACAAAAAAGAGAAAATCCAATCCTTATGAAGGGAAGGTCATACCAGGCCTCTTAACATTCCAGATGCTTTCTGTTCTAAGCATGAACAATCAAACTTCCTGGGCAAGGCACTAGACAGCCCATGCTATCATTTAATCCAGGGGGTGAGGAGGCCAGGCAGTTTTTCCCATCTGCTGTCCCTGATCTTCCAACCAATGAAAGAAGATAGTGATAACTAATGGAACCAAGAGATGCCCTGAATTTTACTTTGGGATGCCACTGGTTAGCATGAGTTAAGCAATCTATGTCCGAAGATCGTATAGAAATGGATAAAAATATAGAGAAAGGCCAGGTAGTATATGAGAGAGGGCACTAATTCAGGATTGAAGAAATCTGGATTTTGGTTCTAGATCTGTCACTAATTAGTAATATGACCTTGGGCAAGACCCTTTGGGTTCTCAGTTATCTCATATCTAATGAGAAGTGAGAAGTGAGATGGTCCCCAAAATTTCTTCTAGGTCTATTTGGTCTTTTAAAATATTTTTTAAATCTCAGGGTCTGATTATGCTTTAAAATCTCTGATTTTCGTAATTACTGGAGTAGATGAAATTCTATCAGAGGATAAGAGAAAGAAAGATGAACCCTGGAGCTAAAAGCAAAAGCAGTCAGCACTTAGGGCTGTGGCTTAGACTGCCGCTCCAGAATGCAGAGCCTTGAAAGATGAGCTGAGCTTTAGAAATTAAACAGTTTAAAATATTATTTATTTTTTAAAACAAATCTTTCAGAACTCGTTTGGGTAAGTGATAAAACAAAACCAGACATGAGAACTACCCTCCCCCTTCCAGAAAAGGAATAATTTCTAAAAAGCAGCTTTTGACTTCTCTTGCTAAAGCTACTGTAGTCTTTACATTTGATTCTCATGTATTTTCCTCTAGGGGATAGAAAAGGAGGTTTTCAAAAAAAAAAAACCCTTTTGCTTGATTGCTATGAAATAATACTAGACTCCAGAGTATCAGAATGAAAATGTGGATTCAGAGTACGTGTGAGTGCTATATGTGACCTGTCCTGAAGTGTTCCTTCTTGATTTCAGGTAGCACTGGGGATGTCCTTGAGAGAAAAAATAGCTAGAGGTTTTACTTTGGTGATGAGTTATGCTCGCAGGCTTCATGTCTCACGTAAATGGTAACCTTTGCTGAGTGTAACCCTAGCTCTTTGTAAAGAGAACAGAATTAGACTCCACCAAATGAAGAGTCCAAGACCTTGGCAATCTTGCCCTGGAAAGATGGCAAGATACATAGAGAACATACAAACGAACAATGATGATGCCCTTATAACATTGCCTAAATAGCTAGGATGTCTGCAGAGTTACACTAGCTTCATGGA